AATAGAGATAAGAAAAAGACCTACCAAAAGGACCCGCATGTACAAAAATATTTATAGCAGCTCTATTTATGGTGGCAAAGAATTGGAAAATGAGGGGATGCCTATCAATGGGGGAATGGCTGAACAAGCTGTGGCATATGAATGTAGTAGGATACTATTGTTCCATAAGAAATGATGAACAGAAAGTCTCCAGAAAAAACCTGGAAAGACTCGCATGGACTGATGCTGAGTGAAGTGAGCAGAACCAGAAGAACATTGTACATGGTAACTGCCACGTTGTGCGATGATCAGCTGGGATAGACTTGGCTCTTCTCAGCAATGCAAGGATCGAAGACAACTCCAAAAGACTTGTGATGAAAAATGCTGCGTCCAGAGAAAGAACTTTGGAGTCAGAATGCAGATGGAAGCAGACTATTTGCTCTTTTTCGTTCTTGTTTTGTTTTGTTTCCTCTTTCTGGTGGTTCCTCCTATTGGTTCTAATTCTTCTCTACAGCATGACTAATGTGAAAATATGTTTAATATGAATGTATACGTAGAGCCTATATCAGATTGCACACCATCTTGGGAAGGGGGGAGGTGAGAGAAGGGGAGAAAATTTAAAACTCAAAATCTTATGGAAGTGAATGTTGAAAACTAAAAATTAATTAATTAATTAATTAATTGAAAAAATAATAATAGGACCTACTTCCTAGGGTTGTTGTGAGAATTAAATGAAATGATATTTGGAAAATGTTTTGTCAAAATTTAAAGTGCTATACAGATGGTGGCTATTATTATTACCCATTAAATGACCCCTCCCTGAAACAAAGACCCATCTTTTTAACACTGTTATCCTGCTACTATCACTCTGTGGTTGTGACTCATAAGGAGGGAAAAGGGAATAAGTATTTATATAGTACCTATTAAGTGCCAGGCACAGGGCTAAGTGGTTTTTTACCAAAATTATCTCATTCTGAAAATCTCATGGCACAACAGTCTCTCAATAATGGGAGTCGAATATCACCAGAAGACAATGGAAAGGCCCAAGGGAAGCATATAAGTGGCCTGAAACATTCCCAACCAAGGACTTCATTGGAGAAGTGCCAGCTAGTGAGGAGTTCCCCTTTCCATGTGACCATCCTTCATGATACTAATTAGCCACATTTGGGCAAAGGACACTGTCAAGAAGCCATCTGTCTTTTGTGTCTTTTTTTTTTTTGGTGAGGCAATCAGGATTAAGTGACTTGCCCAGGGCCACACAGCTACTCTATGTCAAGCATCTGAAGTCAGATTTGAACTCAGGTCCTCCTGACTCCAAGGCCGTAGCTCTATCTACTGTACTACCTAGCTGCCTCCCTTTTGTGTCTTTCTTGACAGTAACTAGGAGTCATTGAAGATAGCTCTCTCTGTAGTTCAGATTTCTCAAAGAATCTTGAATGATCATAATGCTGAATGCATGAAGATTCATGACCCAACAAAAGCCTTTAAGAACATACTTTACTCTCTTAGAGCCAAATGCTTTTATTTTTAATCAACACACACACAGTGGAGCCATGGACTGCCCTTTTTGGTCAACTGTGTGATTGTAAAGACAAGGTCTGCTACAATCATTTGGGGAAACCTGCTCTTTACCTTAAGGTTGCATCAAGGAAATCATATATATATTGTATGTGTGTGTATGTGTGTGTATACATACATGCATATATACATACACACATATATATATTACATATACACACACACACACACACACATATAACATATATAGAGGCCATAGAGCCATAACATATAGAGGCTAAAAAAGCTCATTAAGAGAGGCAGAATATCAATGAATAAGGAAAGAAGTGACAGTCTCCTTGTCCTGTGCTCTGGCCTGACCACATCTGCAAGAGTCTGTTCAATTCTAGGCATGCCTGAGGAAGGGTATGTCTAGAAGTGGAGGCTAAGACATTAAGAAAACTAAAAATCTTACTATACCATTTCTAGATCAGATGAAGGAACTGGAAGTTAAACTTGAGTTAAACTTGAGAAAAGACCTCAGGTGGTGGTGGTGGGGAGGACTCAGGAGAGATTAAACTGGTCCTGCTTGGGTCCAGAGGTCCCCAGGGATCACCCAGGAAGTTCCTCCCAGTGGGCCTATTGTACACTACCTAAAGGCAGGAGGGACGATGTGGGACAGGACAAGGAGCACTGGGTTGGAGTCAGGACATGAGGTTACAGGTCCGCTTCTGCCACTAATTAACCAGGTAACCTTGGGCTAATCACTTCCCAGATGGGTGAAAGTTACAAGGAGACTGATTTAGTTCATGACACAGTGAGTTGCAGTGACAACAGTGTTAAATTTGGAGTCAGAGGACATGGGGTCCCTAGAGCCAGCTGGACTGCGCTGCAAATGCTACCAATTGTTTTGTTGATTGTCTAGACCTAAGAAAGCAATGGAGAAAATGTCAATAATGCACATTAGACTGAAAAGTGTGCCAGGGGTACTTTTTTGTTGGTTTGTTTGGAGAGCTGGTTGTTAAACATTTACCAGATACCTGGTTCAAATCCTGGCTCTGCCTTGTGACATGGCACATCTCCCAGCTGAAGAGGGAATGGACTGGGTGACTGGCTCTATTTTAAGGATCTTATGAAGGAAAGATATCCTAAGGTAGAACAGGCTGACTGGTGAGGCAATGAGTTCTCCATCCGCAGAGATGCCCAGATAGCTGCCCAGGGAGGTTGCAGATGCAATTCCTACCCTAGGAAAAGTTGGGTGGGATAATCAGGAAGACCTCCTCTTCCCTGTAACCCCAGAACTCCACAGGATCAACCAACCCAGGGTCCTAAACATTGGATTCTGTCTCTACCTCATTCACCTTTCACTGCCTTGACTTAATGAAGCACTTTCCCTTAATAGGCTCCAGGTTTAGAGCTGGAAGGCTGGCAGAAACCATCAAGCCAAATCACAGATGAAAAAACCAAGCCACAAAATGGGAAATGAATTATCCAGGATCACACAGTGGGCTTTGAACCCAGGTCTCCCTGACTCCGAGTCCAGCAGTCTACACTTCTCTATGCTGCCTCTGCATGATTTGACACCATGAAGATTTCTAAAGGGCCTTGTCTCCCAACACAAATGGGGCAAAAGTCATTCCTGGCCCTTCAGCTTTGTCCATTTTCCCTGGGCCTTCCCACCCCAAAAAGTGACACCTGTGTGCCAAAACTGCCGGCACCTCAGGCCTGACAAGGGTACCCAAACAGAGGGCATCACCCTTGCCGGGAATGGTCCTCCCCCGCTAGAAGCTGCCCAGAGGCAAGGTCGTCGGACAGAGCCACAGTGACCCCTAGTGGCGTCCGGCCTCCCAGCTCAGCCAACGCCTAAAGGGCTCTGGCTCTGCCTCAGCCTGAACCTCACAAGGGGTCTTGGAGCCCAGGCCCCACCGCCTTCAGAAAGGAGTTCAGATCTGGCCTCGGACACGTCCTACTTGTGAGCCCCAGGGCAAGTCACTGTCCTGCCATGGGCCTCAGTTTCCTTATCTGTAAAATACTTGTGATGGCTCCCCCACCAGGAAGTGGCCAGATTAGCATCAGGATACCAACCAAGCTCTCTTGTACAAATGAGGTCTTGACCGGGTTTCCTCATTTTAGCATCTCTTAAGGTACGCTGCTGGGCCATCACCCCTCCTTCCCTATCCTGCTCTTTTTCGACAAAGTCCACCTGTCCATCAGGAGACAAACTGGGAGGGTCCCTGCTTCCCCAGTCTCCAGGCTCTCCTCTGGTTAGGTTCTCGGCCAGTGAGTGCCCCTGAGCACATGGGATTTCGTAGAGACACAATAGCCTGGTATCACAGGATTGATTACCCACTCCTGGGAATTCCTGGACATCTCCACTGCTCTTTTTATGCTATAGCGCCTTCTTTCCTTGGTCTTTCAGTTTGGTGGTAGGTAATGGCAGCCATTCCACCCCCCACCCCCATCCTCACTCCCCACCCCTTCCCTCTCTTTATTTTAAGCCTTTTGGATTAGATTCACAAGACTCCAGATAAATATGTTCAATTCCCCAGGAGCCCAGAATTCCTGTATTTTAATCCAGAATACCAAATCCATTGCAGATAACACCTTTTCAGCTTGCCATTCACTCCCCAAAGCTGCCTCAGTCTTCTAAAGCAGAAAAAAAAACCACAACCTATGCCCCTGCTCCCCAGCTAGGACTTCCTAAGCCATAGGCATGAAGTCTAGAATTATATTGGCTGCAACATGTGTGTCTGTGAATCACTAAAAAGTGGTTAGCCAGCCAACAGGTTTGACAAGCCCTCTGTCAAGTCCTATACATGTGACCCAGGAAGGCAGAACTCTGGGAACGTCCAATTGACAAACAGGTGTCTCAGTACCCCTCCTCAGGAGGCATCATCTGCTGCCATCCAAACTCTTCTTCTTCTGACCTGACTTAAATGCCTCTCCCTCAACAGCACTCCCCTCCATGGGAAGACTCCCTAATGGTCCTTCTTTCCCTTCCTCCTACGCATCCTGGTAAAGCACAGGATTCCTTTGGGCCTCTTGCTGAAGCCTTCTTTCACTTGTTCCAAGTAACTTTCCTCATGCCTCCTAATCTGGAGTGTGGAATGACCCCGTTGGGCCCACAGCTGTCGGGCTGTTTTCCTCAGGCCTACTCTGCCACCCCCATTCTGGTACCTGTCCCATGGATCCTGGGACCACTAAGCATTGCTTAGTCTAGACATCTGGCCTGGAGCCTTAGTCTCTCATTGCTTGGGGTAATGCTTCCTGACGCTGGCCACCCAGGAATCCCATAGCCTGATGTGGAGAGAGACTCTCTCAACCAGGCCCAACCCTAGAGGGGGAGCTGACGATGGAAGGCAGCTGGAGGGGCTGGGAAGGGCCTACTCCAATCTGCCCAGGATGGATGAGAAATGAAGCCCCACCCACTGAATCCCCCCAGACTTGCTGTGCACCTGCCATGCTGGGGTTCAGCTTACACCCTGGGTGAGGGGACCTTCTCTAAAGACTACAGTGGGCAAGGAGAGAGTTAACACTTTTTATTCCAGATTTTAGAACAAGGGAAAGGGAGAAGGAGGGAATGAGGAGGAACAGAGGGGAGCCATGAGCAGCGTGCAGGGATGTGGGGGCAGCAGCCCCCCAAGAAATCTGGGGGGAGAGGAAGCCTCTTAAGGCCCCTGAGGAAGGGGAGGCTGCTGGAAATGAGCTGCTTCATAGTGCCCAGAGGCCTTTCCTTTGGTTTCCAGCAAGCCAAGGCACGGAGTGCTAGCCAGCCCACTCAGAGGTCACGAAGGAGCAGCTTGGGGCCTTGCTCGACTGGTCAGATGTCTGGGGGCCCTTTACAGGAGGCATGGAGGTGCTGGGCTCCGTGCTGGATTCCGTGCTGGATTCAGTGTGGCTCTGGAGGTCTGCTGGCATGGCTGAGGGGCAGGCCCAGGTGGCGGCTTCAGGCACCTCCTGTACTCTGGGCCATAAAGCTCCCCAGGGATAGATTCGGGGATGAGGAGAAGGGATGGAGAGGAAAGAGTATATGACCACTGCCTTGGAGCCAAAAGATGATCTAAGCCTAACCTGCCTGGAAGAGGATCAATTCTAAGGTGGAAGAAGCAGGTGGGAAGGTTAGTTAAGTATGTTTGGCCCCAACGACAGTGGTTGGGGGTGGGTGCAGGAGGCATGGAGGGAACGCAGAAGCTTCCAGGCCTAGTCAAGCTCACCCACCTGTCTCCCGAGAAGGTACATCCCAGCTGCTATCACTGTCTGGGAGGCTCAGATCAGAGCTAGAGATAGCGGAGTCTGGCCGGGGTGGGGGATCCCCTCGAATCTGGGCCTGCAAAGAACACACCATGGCCCTAGGTGGGGCCCTCAGGGTCAGGCAGTAGAGTCCTGGGGAAGGAGTCACAGCCTGATGCCATCACAGCCTCACAGGCTGTGGGTCCCCATCTTCTCTAACACTGCTCTGTACATCTCACCCTGATCCAGATCTGACTCAGTTTCTCCTAAATGGGAAGTGAGGGTCACAGAAACCATGGGGGTTGAGGGGAGGGATAGACTGCAACGAGGAATAAGAATTCCAGCTTTGATAAACAGGAAGGTGCTCTTGTAAAAAGTAGAGGAGCTGTTGGCTTTTACCTTTCTTTGTGTCCCCAGGGCTTAGCACAGTGCCCAGCACATAGCAGGCATACTGAGGTGGTTTGCCATCTCCTTCTCCAGCTCATTTGACAGAGGAGGAAACTGGGGCAAACAGAGCTATGTGACTTGCCCAGGGCCACACAGTTAGCAAGTGCTTGAGTCCACATTTGAACTCGGGTTCAGCACTCTATCCGCCACACCACCTAGCTGCCCACACACTCGACCTTAATCGTCTAACTGTAGGTTTTATGAGCTGCTCCCAAGATGAAGCAGCCTGCTCTTGGTCACACAGGGCAGGGGCAGGTCTGCCTGACCCTAGGCAAGCAAACCATCCACTCCACCAGGCACTGAAGCTCCTGGAGGGAGAGGGAGGAGAAGGCGCAGGAGACATCAACATTACTATTAATCATACTAATACCAACAGCATTTCCATAGCACATTAAGATTTGCAAAGGGCTTTACAAATATTATCTCATTTGAACCTCACAACTCTAGGAGACGGGTGTTGTTATCCCCATTTTACAGATGAGGAGTTGGAGGTCACACAGCTAGCAAATGTGGGGGGCAAGATTTGAACTCGGTTCTCTTCACTATGGTACCTACTCCCTCCCTGCACTGGATAGAGGACTAGGAGACCCATGTTCAAAGCCAGGACCAAACTCCTTCCAGCTGCATGAGCCCAGGCAAACTTCCCTTTCTCACCTGTGAAACCAGAATAAAGGTACAGCTCCCCCTTCCCTCCCAAAGAAGCAGGTCTGGGAGGTCTGCTGACAGCAGGCAGCAGCTCAGAGTGGGGCCAGCTTCCTCCTCACAAGTCTGGGATCTGAGGCAAGACTCTTCTAAAGAAGCCTCACCTCCCTCCCTCTGGTTCTCCAGCAGGGACATGGCTTAGGAGCCAAGGCCTCTGTCCCTAGACCCCTCCCAGGCTGTTCTCCTGGGCCCCTATTCTGCCTCTATTCCTGCCTGTCCCTTCTTGTAGTGTTTATGCGTTAGGCCCTGTAGGAGCAAAGGGGACCCCGGGGGGTGGAAGGAGGTGCAGGAAACCCAACTTTGTGCTCTATACAGGGAAAAGAGAATCCAGTAACCTCCAAAGCCAGGTCAACAACTGGGACCCTATCTCTTTCCTTACTGAGCCCCTACCCAGGAGCAGGGGGCACTTTGTGCCCTGAATGGAGGGGCAGACCCACTACCTCCCAGCCCCAGCCGGGCCTCAGACCTGACATGATCGATCTCCCGCCGAACATCCCGGGCCTCCACCCTGGCAGCGTCCACCGCCCTGCTGTGGCCTTCCTGATCGCTCTGTACCTGCTCCAGCACCTGCCCAGGCACAGCCGCCAGGTGGTAATGACCACAGAACTTTCCCTTCACTCAGGCCCTTCCCCCTCTTTCCCCACAACGCTCTCAATGAGCTGGGCCCGTTGGGGTGGGGTGGGGGGGAGTTTAGGGGATGGCAGGAAGGGAGCCCCCTAAAGGGGTGCTGCTGGGGTGGGGGGCAGCAAGATCATTTCTCCAGGGCACCCCACCCTTCTATTTGGATAGTAGAAAAAGCATCAGAGCTGGTCCAAAGTAGAATGAATAGCCCCATCTCAAGATGCCTTTTAGAGATGACCCCCTGCCAAGGATAAGGAGCCTTCAAATGCACACCTACCTTCCAGCTCCTCCCCTGAGCCTGCCTGGTGTCCGCCATCTGTCTCAGCAACAGCTCCTGCTGTTGGCCTGAAGGAGAAGGAGAAGGTCAGCAACAGACTAGGGGAAGGGATGGGGCAGAGGGAAAGGAGAAGCTTCCTTCCTTCTCCTTCCCTAACCCCCCCTCTCTAACCCCCCCTTCCCTTCTCTCCTCCCTGCCCTCCTCTCCTTTCTCCCCTTCTTCCCTCCCTTCCCTCCTTTCCATTCTCTCTTTTCTCTTTCCTTCCTTTTCTCTCTTCCCTCCTCTCCTTCTTCCTTCCTTCCAGTCTCCCTTTTCTCCTCTCCTTCCTTCTTCCCTTCCTTCGTCTCTTCTTTCTTCCCTCCTCCCTTCCTCCCTTCCCACCTCTCCTCCTTCCTTCCTTCCAGTCTCCTTTCTCCTCTCCTTCCTTCTTCTCTTCTTTTTCTTCCCTCCTCCTTCACTCCCCTCCTTCCTCCCCTTCTTCCCCCCCTCCTTTCTCTTCTCCTTCCCTTTAGTGCTTCACTCTTTCACTCAGGAAGCATGTTTACTTTGAATGGATGGAGTTGAGCACCTGACGATCCCCAGACAGAAGTGATGAAGGCTTGCCCTCTCCCCCTTCAGTAAAGGCCTCAGTACGCCAACCGTATCAGCCATTTCAACACTTTCAGTTGACTGCCTCCCAAGGAAAGTTCAAAGCCCTGAACTAAAGCCCTCTTAACCTTATGTGACTCACATGGCATTCCTCTCCTCTGCACATGCTCCTGGGCAGCCAACAAGGACTTCCTACCCTGAACCCATACTGTGCTCTCCAGCCTCCAGGTCTTTGCTTAGGCTGTTCCCAATGCCTGGAACGCCCTTCCTGTCCCCTCTCCACCTAAATCATTCCTTCCAGTCCATTTCCCTCCCCGTCATCAGTCCCTCACTGCCACACTTATGGCTGCCTATGCTCCGGGCTTACATGTCCCTTGTGGACTGTAGGCACTGAAAAGCAGAGTCCTGGTCTTACATAACTTGGTATCTGGCCTAGTCCTTATCACAGAATGTGATACACGTACCCATGTACACTTGGTAAATGCTTGGTGAAAGAATGAATGAAAGATGTGCGTGTTCTCCCAGGCTCTCCAGGATGGGGGGCCCAGTAAGAAAACTCACGCCTAAAGAGGGAGAACAGCTCGGCCACGGTCACACTGGCAGCTAAGCGGCCAGACTAGGACTTGACTGGGGCCAGCTGGGATCTCACAATGCCTCCTGCCTCCCCCCACACACTCTTAGAGGAGAAGAGGCCTCCCAATAGGCCCCAGAGGAGTCTCACGGGAGGGGATGTGAGAGGATGGGGAAGGGAGGGAGACCCCCTCACCCAGCTGGTCCCGAAGAAGCTTCAGCTCCCCTCGAACGGTCTCATACTCCTCCCACAGCAGCTGGCGACTGGAAGGGTCAGAGGGTCAGTGAGGCAGGATACCAGGGAAGAAGGGAGGAGACCACCCTGCCAATCCCGATCCTCCCTGCAGAGGACAGAGAATAAGTACCATCCAAATCTATGCTAGAGAGACTGTCTGGGAGGTACCATCACACTTCTTGTGAAAGGTCTGGGGTCAGAACCAGTCAAAGGCCACCGGGGTGGGGGGGGAGGGTCCCAGAAGGCAAATACTCACTCATTCTGCAGCTCCTGGTGCAAGAGGGCAGTCACACTGGCTTCCCTGGGACGGGCCTGCACTTGCCGACGCAGGCTCTGCAGCTCTGAGTTCAGGTCTTCCACTCCTTGTTCCAATCTTGCTCGCCCATCAGGAACCCCTCTCAGTCGGCCTAGCTCCTCTGGGCAGCAAGGGGGATGTCATCCCTGCCCTCCAACCCCCGCTCCCCTTTCCCATGGTGGGGGACCATCCTAGAGGGCACTGTCACGGACTTCAGGGAGGGACGCCTACTGTGGGGGCCCTGCCTCCTGGGGTTACCTTCCAGCTTATCAATCTGGCATCTCTGACGCTCCCTGTCTTCCATCAGGCCCTGTACGGCCTGACTCATCAGCAGTGTCACCTGGATCAGGTCAAGAAGAAAAGGGTCTCCCTGGGCTCCAGAGGAGCAAGAGGACCCCCCCCCCACCCCAGATACATTCCCAACTGCACCTGAGCCTGGGTCCGGAGCTGGCTCCGAAGAGTGTTAATTTCATCCCACATCGACAAGGTGAAGCAGGCGTCATCCCAGCCCTGCCCCTCAGGGTGGGGCTCCAGGGTCCAGACCTGATGAGGCAGTTCCCCTTCAGGATTAGAATGAGGCATCCAGGACCCAGAAGGAGCCAGGCTGGCTGCAGAAGGCAAGAGATGAAACCAAGACTGGACCAGATGAACCAGGTCCCTTCCCAAATGAAAGACGAGGCCTGGGGCCTGGGAGCAGAGGTGGCCAGATTCCCTTCGGGTGGAGGATGGGAGGAAATGACCACCAGTGGAAGAGCCAGAGGGAAGCGTATGGGCTGGCATGTGAAGGTAGGGAGGGTAACACACTTACAATTGCCAGGTGAAGAGACACCAAGGGGGCAGAGACGCTGCTGCTGGGCAGGAAGGGAAAAGCAAGAAGGTAACCATCAGTACTGTCAGATCCTGCTCCCAGGAGCATGACCTGGGTTCTCCTAAGCTTCTGCCACCATCCCCTGGCTTAGAAAGCACCAGAGCTGCGGCAATAGAGTGATCTAAGACAACCGTGATTCTTATAGAAGCAAACCCTGGAAAGAAATGAAAATAACTTTATTGATTACTTTTTTATTTTTTATTTTTCTTGAGTTTATTTTTGTCTGTTTTCATTCACGTGACTATTATGGAAATGTTTTGTATGACTACACATGTATGACCTATATTGAACTGCTTGCCTTCTCAGTGGTGGGTAGGGAGGGAGGAAGGGAGAGAATCTGAAACTTAAAATTTTAAAAACAGTGTTAAAAATTGTTTTTACATGTAAGTGGAGAAAAATAAAGTACTAAAAATAGAGGAAATCCTATTCTTAAAAAAAGTTATGTAATGTTAAAAAAGAAAAGAAAGACGGCACTAGAGCTGGTAAGGGCTTCCCAGGCTATCTGGTCCAACTCATTTTATAGGTGAGCAAATGGAGGACCAAAGAAGGTAAGAGCTCATACCAAGGACATGCAAACTGGCAAACTAAAGACTTGGGAGGGTGGGATCCCAAATCTAAGGCCTGTGACCTCTGAGTCTCCCAGGAAAAGGGCATTGGAGATCCTCACCAACAAGGCCGGAGTCCTGCTCTCAGAGGGTCTTTGGGATAGCAGAGCAGTGACCCTCACTACTACCCCACTTGCACATTGCTGGGGGGAGGGTCAGGTTTAGGGTTCAACAGAGGGGACGCGGGGTGGGGTGGGGGGCCAACTCCAGCTCAGGGCCAAGAGTGAGGCATGGCCAGGCTACAGCCCATCCTGGGGCCTTGGTCGGCCTCCCCAGAAGTCCCAGAAGGCTTGGAGGGCCCGGACCTAGCAGAGCTTTCGTCCTAGGAGGCGGGGCTGAGGTCAGGGCTCCCAGGAGGGGAGGGACCAGCCTGGCGGTAGGGGAGTGGTCTGCCCTGAAGCTCCACCCCAGAGGCGCGGCTGGACGCAGGTTTTAGCCCGGGGTGTGGCCAGGCTCCCGGGATGGGGCGGGCCTACAGGATGGGCGTGGCCATGGGGCTAGAGACTCCCGCGGAAGCAGCCGGCGCTTCCACGACGCTGCAGCGCGACCCATGGCTGCCCACCTTGATCCGGGCCACATTGCCATCGGTGACCTGCAGCAGTGAGTCGAGCTTCTCAGCCCAGTTGGAGCCCTCAGACACCGGGGACAGTGTCGGGCGCGGCGGCTCCAGGGCGGAGGGTGTCTGGCCGCAGCCGGGGCCCGAGGGCTCCAGGCAGGGAGCGGCGCTGGACGGGGGTGCCGGGCCTGGCCCCAGCAGCGAGCGAGCTGCGCAGGGCTCTCCGAGGGTCAGGCCGGGCCTGCCTCGGAGCCAGGCCGAGACTCTCAGAGTAGGAGGCGGGGCCGGCGGCGGGGGCGCGGCCCGGGGCTGCCGCGGAAGCCGGGGCTTGGGTCGCACGGGAGTCAGCTTGGGCCCCAGAGCGCGGAGCCCGCCGCCAGCGCCTCCTCCGCCACTGCCCGGCCCCCAGCCACCGGTGCCATGGCCCCTGATTTGCCCCCGCCGACAGTACCCGATTCAAACCTAGCGCGCCGGCGCCGCCGCGGGGCCTCCTGGAACACCGAGTCCGCCTCCCGCAGCCACAACGGGCTCGTCACGGCTTTCGAACTACGACTCCCAGCAGGCCGTGCGCGCGCCCCACTCGCCAGCCGCGTAACCTGCCAGGAAGGCCAGGCCGCTGGTCTGCGAAGCCGTTGGCACTGCGCGTCTGCGCAACGAACTACATATCCCAGCAGGGAGCGAGCCCGCCGCAGCGCCCCGTGGGAGCTGTGGACAGAACTGCGCGGGCAGCCAGGAACCCAGCACCTACACTATGGAGCCGAGGGTGGCTGAGCTGGAGCGCCGGATCCGGGCCACGCTGGAACCCTTCGGCTTCGAGGTGCACCCCTTCCAGGTGAGCATGCGCGGCCCCGCACGTGACTCACGCATGGAAATGGATTTGGCTTGCAGAAAGGAACGGTTGTGGGGTGCACCGAGCGTCCTGGAGGGCTCCCTGACGGTGTGCTTTGGTCCTCTTGGGCCCCGGACTGGCCCGACTTGGGTCTGGCCAAAGTTCGTTTGACCTTCAGACAGCCCCAGGACGGCAGGGTGGGGAGAGAGGAGGGGGGTGAGGGGGCGAGACACTTATTAACCCCGAGTCCACCAGGTGTGGGACCCATCACTAGCACAGACTGTAACAGTGAATTCCGCAGAATCTGGTGCTGCTACTGGTCCTGACCTTGATCCTGAGCCCACTCCAGCCACGTGTCCATCAGGGCCTTGACCTTGACACTGAGCCAGGAGACCAACCAGGTGGGCAGAGGTCGGAGGGAGAGTTCTCATGCACTGATGGCAGGATCTAAGGAGCATTTGCAGGGAGTCGTTTTTCCAGGCCAGGTGCGCACAGCAGCACGAGACAGACGGCTGTGGTGACTAGAGGCAGGGACCAGCTAGGACACCATGCAGAGCCCACGGGCACCAGGACTGACCTGAGTGGGAGCTGCCTGGGCACCATCCAGCAGGGACCAGACGGATACCGTAGGGAGCAGGAACAGAAGCCATGCCACAGCTTTGTGGCTCAAACACCAGCGCCAGGTCGCAGATTCAATGCAGATTGGTACGGAGTGGGCTTGCACCCAGCATGGCAGAACAAGGCAGCCACTGGCCAGGAGCCATAACAGCAACAATCAGTTACAGCCAGTTCTCAGATTCCACCCCCATCTGGAGCCTGTGCCTGAATAACCAGCACAGGAAGCTCAGGTCCTGTAATTTGTGCTGAACCTGCAGAACCTTCCAGCTAGCTAAGAGGCTTGGAGCTGCAACCAGGGGCAGTCCTACAGTTGTATTGCTCAGACCCAAACTGTGGTCAGGAGCTTATAAACCTTAAATCAAGGGGCAGTGATCAGACTTAACCCTGTATCAAGCAGCACTGGTGCACTGAGAGCTTGCTGGGTTCCACCCTGATCTTCTGAGATCTTTGAACAACACAGCACTGAATACCCAAAGAAAGCAAGTACAGAACCCAAGAGAGTATGAAACAGGACCCAGCATGGCTGAAACAGTCCTTCCAGAAGTGTGTAGAATCTAGCCTTGACACAAAGTCCCAAATAAAGAAGTAAGGCTGGGCAAAGAAAAAAAGACTCCCACCGCAAAGACCAACTATAGTAATAGACACTTAACTCAGAAAAATAAAATGACTCCAAAACACTTGCAAGCAAAGCATCAAAAACCTTAGAACTCCTAGAAGAAATAAAGGAGGCCATTTTGAAAAGTTAGAAATTATTGTATAGTTGAAAAGAGAGTGCTAGAGAAGACAATTGGAAAAGAAATGAGAATTGTGGGAAAAGACTTGGAAGGAGAATTAACTGCTTATGCTTAGCACAAGAGATCTAAAACCTTACCCAAGCAACAGACTCCTTGAAACTTAAAGTGGACCAAACAAATGACTTCATGAGACAGTAAGAAATGTTTTTTTTTCCAAAAGTCAAAAAACAGGGAAAAAAAATAGAAGAAAATTTAAGTACTTCATATTAAACAAATCAAGAAGAGATAATTAGGCTCTCTGAAAGCCACAACCAAAACCAGAGCTTGGACAAGAAATGGTAAAAGAGGAGCAGCACAGTAGATAGGTCCTCCTGATTCCAGGGCTAGAGCTTCGAGATTGGGTCTCAGACACTTGATACTTACTAGCCGTGTGACCCTAGGCAAGTTACTAAATCCCAATGGCCTCACCGAAAAAAAAAAAGAAGAAGAAAGCTGCCCAGAATGAATGGGAGGGCAAAAATGTAAATAGCATTCACTGGTCTTGTCTGGAAAAACCCAAATGAAAATTCCTGGGGATATCATAGCCCAAATCCAGAGCTTCTGACTGCAATTAGACAGAAGCCATGGTGCCTGGTGCTGACTTTGACTTTATTGGCATTGATTTCCTTAGCTGTGGGGCTGGGAAGGTACCTCCCCTTCTCTGAGCTGTGACTTTGCTCTTGCGGTATTTGTCTCCTGTTCACTCTCCAGGCAGGACCAGCCCTTGCATTTAAAAAAAAAATTTTTTTTAAGGCAGTTGGAGTTAAGTGACTTGCCCAGAGTCACGTGTCTGGTCCGAGGCGGGATTTGAACTCGGGTCTTCCTGACTCCAGGGCCAGTGTTCTGTCCACTGTGCCACCTAGCTGCCCCAGCCCTTGCATTTTTAACCTGACACTGACCCTGCTACTTCCTGCCAGCCCCCCCACTGAGGGCAGACAGCCAGCACTGGGCTGAGAAACCTGAGACCTGAGGTGTGTTACAGCCCTGCCCTGTAAAGGGGAGTGCTGCAAGACAGAGGAGGCTCTAAGAGAGGAGGGTACTGGCCCTGGGCCACTCAGCTCAGGTCTGTGGGCAGATGTGACTCCTCCTTCCCTCTAGCCAGTGCCAAATAAATTCACCAAGTGCTACTTGACCTCACAGAGAGGATCACTTGAGCCGCTGGGTGGCCTCTGTTGGTGGCCAAGGCTGGGTAGAGGGGCTATGGGGATACAGTAAGTAGCATTGGACACTGTATCTCTTTTGAGCATACCCTGCCTGTCTCTGCCCAGGTGGGATGGTACAATGCACTGCTGCCTCCGGCCTTCCAGCTGCCCCTGCCTGGGCCTACACTTGCTTTCGTGGTCCTCAGTACTCCCGCCATGTTTGACCAAGCCCTCAAGCCCTTCCTGCAGAGTGCCCACCTGCAGCCTCTGAAGGACCCTGTGGACCAGTGTGTAGCCTACCACTTCACCAACCTTCAGGAGGTAAGACCAAGGCCCCTGCTCCTCTTCCACCTCCTCCTGTGGGGCTCCAAGGAAGTGTCTTCCCTAATCTGGACCCTGAGCCAGGTGGTCTCTAAGGCCCCTTCCAGATGTCAGGGCCCCCTGTCCTTAATGTGAGTTGAGCCACCTCCAGCCTGGCCTTGCTGCATCCATCCTGTCCCTCTTCAAACCTGTGCCACCTGTCCACCACCTGGGCCTGCTTATTCCATAGCCATAGCCCTGGAAGGTTCTAGGAGCCCCAGAATTCCAACCTTTGGCTATCCAAAGACTATCCCATGCCCCTGCCCCCATTGCCAGCCTTTTCCAGGACAAAAATCAGACCATAATCAGCACTCCTCTGCCCCCTAAGCCCTTCACCTCAGAACAGGGGGTCCTCCCAGACAGTTGGGAAGGAGACCATTGTTTATGCTGAGATGACCCTATCTCTGTCCCTGTCTCAGAGCCTTCCAGAGCAGAAGGTGGACATCATCACGGACTATGACATGCACCCAAACCGGCGCCCCAAAATATTGGCCCAGACAGCTGCACACGTGGCAGGGGCTGCCTACTACTACCAGCGGCAAGATGTGGAGTCTGACCCCTGGGGAGACAAGGTTAGTGAGGTGGGGAGCAAGGACCAACTCCCACAAGGCACCCCAGCTGGAACAGGGAGGGTGGGAGGGAAGGCCTGGGGATTTGAGGTTAGGGAAGGGCATCCTGTTAAGATCACTGCTGCAAAGTTCTCCAGCCAGCCCTGCTGGGATGAGAAGCTAGCCTTCAACTCAAGAATCCTGGCCCAAGTCTCTGTTCTTGCCTGCCTCTACCTCCCTAATCCCCACTCCTGTGTTCTGGTTTCTCCTCATTGCATCCCTCCCCAGCCTGTCTGCCCCTTTGAATGAAGTGAGGGTCAGGATGGGGAAGGGATAGCCCTGGTCACATCTCACCTGGGTTACTGGGATTCTGTTCCCCAAGCCACACCTTAGGCAGAGAAAATGTCAGTGAACTGAAATGAGGTGGTGAGGGGCCTAAATACCAGGAAAGCCAGGGGGTACCATGGAAGAGTTCTGGGCTGGCAGAGGCAGTGAGGGGGCCTGGTTCCAGGAGCCCATGGGGTGGCCCCGTCCTCAGGGAGGAATGCTTTGGAAGTAAATTGGATCTCATTCCTGAGGATTATGGGATTTGAGGCCCTGGAGGTCATCTCCAAGCCTTCACTTTAAAGAATAAATAACTGAAGCTCCCAGCTTGGCCATGGGAGCGTCTTCCTGATGTCCCCAGGGAGTGGGGTCAAGGATGAGGAGCAGCTTATGTCCTGTGATTCAGTCTCCAGACATCTTCCCTGCCTCTCTCCCACAGAAGATTGCTGGCGTGTGTATCCACCCTCAATATGGGGGCTGGTTTGCCATTCGGGGGGTGGTGCTGCTCCCAGGGGTGGAAGTGCCCGACTTGCCCCGCCTGTCACCTCTTGACTGTGTGCCCACCCGGGAAGGCCGCATTGCTCTGCTGGAAAACTTCAACTTCCACTGGAGAGACTGGACTTACAGGGATGCTGTGGACCCTGTGGAGCGCTACTCAGAAGAACAGAAGGCCTACTTCTCAGCACCCCCTGCCCAGCGCTTACACCTGCTGGAGCTACTCAAGGACACACCCCCAGGTCCCCTCAAGTCTTTGGGGGCCCTCCTCAGAGAGACACTGGACTCCAGTTGGGGAGGGGGTCGGGCTGCTCCTAGAAGGGTCTTTGCTACTGTACCACAGGGGACCTAGTCCCCTTCCTTCTCAAGACCTAGCTGCTATCCACTTATTTATGACAAAGGCCTGGTTATGGTTTGGAAGACAAGGGCCAAAGAAGGGACAGGCACAACTTGATTTTAATTAATAGGAAATTATTTCCCTAGCCACTGGGCTAGGGCAGTGAGCTCCTGAGACTTGAAGCCATTTTACTACTGGTCCTCAATTTCCTCATGTGTGAAATGGCAGTCATAAACCTGACCTTCCTTTCTTTCCCTCCAAGAGGGGCTGAAGTGCCACGGAAATGGGGGGCCATGCTTGTCAGACCATTCGGATCTCATTCCCCCTTCCCCCCAGTCGTGCATTCTAGCTGCTCGTTCAGGGAAGGTTCTGGGTGGTCAGTTGGTACTGCTGTCAGGTGTCAGAGCTGAAGCTGGCAAATGCTAGAAGAGCCTCTGACAGACTCCTCAGTCTCCATAACTGGGTCATCAACTCTCCTGGTTTCAGTGAGGTGACTCTCGGACCTTCCTTTTGTCTGGGCATATCAGTTAATCCCAGTCATTACTGCCACCCCCCAAATAGGCTCATTCTCCTTGAGGGTGAGTTTGATTGATTTCCTAGACATCTTATCCCTAGGGGAATTTTCCTATAAGCTAGAGTTTGTCCTATGGGCTCTGCTGAGTCCCTGCTACACGTGCAATTGCTCTTTGCCAAGGATCTTGCCTAGAGGGTGGCATTCTTTTGTGGGCCTGGTAGAAGACCATGCCCTAACTACCCTCCTTCCTGGGGCAGGAGCAGCCCGTCAGGCTGTGACCTTGACTTTCCAAGCATTTGTTCCAAGGAAGAGCTGCACTTAAAATTGTTTTACCTGGAGTGTAAACCATTTTGTTTTAAGTGTGAGCATCAAGACATATAAAGTGTTTTGCAAGTCTTCAAGGCCTTATCAATAGTGTTGGTGGATACTACAGAGGGAAGGTGCTACTCTCCACAGATTTGGGGCTGGGGTGGTAATGAACAAGGATCTGAGTGTCTTCAGCTCTGGACCAGACAGGAAGAGGGGCTGTGGTATACCACCATCTAGCCAGATGCTTAGTTAGGAGGCCAAGCCAGCAATCCCCATTTTAATTGCTGGGCTCAGCCCACTCCCCCTTCTTGCCCTGGCCTCCCAGCCTAGCTTCCTGGGGATCCAACATAATTGGGAAAGAAATACTAATGTAGATACCAGAATTCCTAGTCTCCTTCTGCTTCCCATTCCTCTCCTGGGGTATATAAGGTCCCTGGCAGCTCTCCTGCTACCCAGATGTTCCAACTTTTTGCCTCTATACAATGTCCCTAAGGTGATCTCATCAGTAACACAGTTATCTCAATGCAGAGGATTCCCAGACTTATTTCTCCAGCTCAAACCTCTCTGGCCTCTCCAGCTGCCTACTGAATGGGTCAAATAGGACTATTTAGCATTCAAAGCTTTTCATAAACTGGGCCTCTCCCTCTCTAACTCCCCTGCCCCCACCCCCCAAAATCTGCAGCCCAGTGGTGCTGGCTGCCTTGAGGTTCCCAATGCACTTTCACTGGCTGTCCACCCTCCCTAGAATTCATCTCACCTGCAATTAGTGTCTTGCCTATTATCTCCTGTATGTACTGTATATATCTTGTTTCTACATAGCTGATCTTTTCCAGACAGGCTGGGCCTGTCCTCCCTTCCCACCTTCCCTCTTCAGCCCAGCCTCACTAGCAGCCAATGCACATGGCTCCCTCTAGCCTGGGGGCTGTGGTCCTCGTGGTGCGTCCCCTTCCCTCCCTGAGATGCAAAGAGGATGAGTTCCAGCTGCTTCAGATACACCCAGCAAGGTCAAGTTGCATCTGCATAACCTGAAGTCCCACACACCAGTTTTTTTTCCTTAGGACAAGTTTAATAGAGCTACAAAACATCAGATGGGCTCAAGCCCAAAGGAGTGACTCTGGTACAAACACTGTGAACACAGCACTTGGTCATCAACACAGTACTTAGTCATCAGGAGTGAGAAAGACCCAGCAGGCTCAGCCAGCTAGCTGCTGCCCTGAGGGAGGGAGGAATGAGCTGAATGAGCCAGGCCCCATGGGGACAGAGCATGCCCAGCTAGCCCACCCTGTGTGGACTCCCTCTGTGAAGGCCTTCTAGCTGGAAGCTTGGGGAAGATCAAGCATGTTTGTCCAGCAGACGGTGGCTAGTGAGCTGGCAGACCCTATGGGGGGGGGGGAGAGAGACATCCACAGCAGCAGAGAGCAGCTCAGTTCTGCTTGGAGAAGTATTCCTTACTCCCCTGAACATCGGGCTTGATGGTTTCACTCCCCGGTTTCCAGCCAGCAGGGCACACTGAAAGACAAAAGAGTGACCATCTCGGTGACCTTCCTGCTCTCCAAAGCCAGGGAGAATTCACTGCTCACTCCCAAGGAACCAGGTAGAGATTCTGTTTGCTCACCAGGCAGCCCTTCACAGCTGCACCTTGTGCACAAAAGTAGGGCCACAGATTTGGTGGGAGGAGGAACCTCCCTCCCAGCAGTGCTAACACCAAGCACAAATCACTCTTCAGAGTGCCCAGAAGCAAAAGTTGGAAGAGACCTTAGAAAGCATCTCATGCTAGCCTAGAACTTGAAGGCAGCTGATGGCTCAGCAGACAGAACACTGGCCTGGAGTCATTAAGACCAGGGTTCAAATCCAGCTTCAAACACCACTTGGCTGCACGACCTTGGGCAAACCACTAGCCTGACTGCCTGACAAAAATGAGTCCACTGGAGAAGGAAAGGGCAAACCATTCCAGTGCCTTTGCCAAGAAATCCCCAAATGCTGACAGGACTGAACAAAAGAGCTTAATACTAGTGTTTCTGAACTGGTAACACACCTTAGCAAGTTCACAAATCCAAAAAAAAGGAGTAATTCCTAACTGAACTGTCCACCTCCTCAGGCTCCTGTCTAGCTGTCCTGACAAGGCCTTTTAAAAAGTCCTCAGAGGAATGGGCTGAGTGCACAGACATCAACACAGGCCCTTCAAATGAAGCCGCCTCCTCCTCCCTTTTGGGAAGACGCCCCATCTAACTCCTCTGTACACCCGTGAGCTGTGTTGCCAACCATGGCCACCTTTGGTTAAATGCCCCTAGCTCCTTCAACTACTGCTCTCTGGCTACAAAACAAGACTCATGCCTTAGGGCAAGGAAGAAGGGCTGAAGAAAAGCTGGGGGGTGGGGGTGGGGAAATGCCAGCTGGCAAGAACAGACTGGAGGGTCAAACTTTCCATGTTCCTTCTATCTCCTTGGCTTCCCTTCCTTCCAACTGCTTCCATGAAGACCTTCTGTCCTCTCTCTGCCTCTGGACAAGTATAGCCCAAGGTCTCAGGAATCAGAAGCACCAGAGCCTCAAGGAGCCACCCCACCCCCCACAACCCCCAGCTGGGATCACTCTCCAGGTGCTCAGGCCTGCCATGACCTGGGAACCCTCTGACAGGTCCCCCCTGCCCTTCCTTGGGCCTCTATAAGAACATGAGAAGATGCCTCCAAAGCACCTACCAGGTCTTCCTTGGTAATCCTTAAAAATCCTTTCCCCCCGGGGCAGCTAGGTAGCACAGCAGATAGAGCTCCAGCCTTGGAGTCAGGAGGGACTTGAGTTCAAATCGGTCTTCAGAGACTTGACACTTACTAGCTGTGTGACCCTGGGGCAAGTTACTTAACCCCTATTGCCTCACCAAAAAGCAAAAACAAAAAAACCTTTCCCTTCTCTATCTTCAGAGGGATATACCAGAAGTCAAGTCAGAAAATTTTAGAAACAAGAAAAAGCAAAAAGGGGCAGTCAGTGACATATGCCACAGAAGGTCAGAAGCAGCACTTGGTTCTGTCATCCAACCTGCCTTCACTCCCCCCAGGCTAGGATCACAATCATGAAAATTCATGGAAGCCAAGCTCTTCTCCACCTGGGGTCCCTGCTCACTGAAGCTGTTACAGGATGGGAGGGACAGCCTTTCCCTTCCCCCTCCAACATAACGGGAGTGGAGGGAAAGGTAGTGCCCTAAGACTCTGGGAAGAGAGCCTCTCCTCCCTCCATTTGTCATGGCTAAGTGAGAATGCACAGGAAAAAGTCATGGATAGGAGGCATCTAGGTGGCGCAGTGGATAGAGCACCAGCCCTGAAGTCAGGAGTACCTGAGTTCAAATCTGGCCTCGGACCAAAAACACTTGAAGCTAGCTTACTAGCTGTGTGACCCTAGGCAAGTCACTTAACCCCAATTGTCTTTTAAAAAAAAAGTCACGGACAAGTTTCAATTACCTTAACTTCTGCTCAAAACGTACTCATTTCAGTGGAGGCCACTACTACTATCCTCCCCAGCCCCCATCAGCCCAGCAAGGTTTGCTACCTGGCTGATAAGCTGTACTCCCAAATCTCCCAATTTCACATGTACAGTTAAGCTCATTTCTACCTCCAACAGCCCAGGGCCCAGCAAGGTAAGATAAGGCACTGGAGGTCATCCATCCCCTCAGGCCATTCTCTGACCATACCACTCCCTAAGTGGTTGGGAAGCTTCCAACCCAGGGTCCTGAGTTGTCCCAACTCAAGGATCAGACACCTCATTCCCTTTTGAGTCTGTTTTTGTCAGTTTTATACCATAGGTACACAATTCTACCTACAGCAACACATGCATTTACCTAAGTAAATAACAAGGAAGACAGCAGAGTACCCCGGACGCCCAAACCTCATTGTAGAATGAGACTGCTTTCAGGCCACCATCTTGGCTCTGCCCCCCTAGAATGAGACTGGATACATCACTGGGCTCACTCTACTTTTCAAAGCAGGCATTACTCCTTTTGTGTTCTGTGCTTAAAAACAAAGCCCAACCTTGTCCCCTCCCTCTGTGGCATTCGCCCTTCTCGCAGGCAGGCTGCCTTCCCCTCCTCCATCTGTCTACCTGGGCTTCTCCCCTCTCTTTCACCTCTCTAAGACTTACCTTCACCATGCTTGTCTGTGAACTGGAAGGCCTGGACAAGCCGCAGAGTTTCATCTACAGAGCGGCCCACAGGCAGGTCATTGATGGTGATCTGGCGAAGGACCCCTTTGTCATCAATGATGAAGAGACCCCTAACAAGGAAGAAAAGACACCTAGCTAGGACCAATCCTCCACTTCAGGGTTTTGGAACCAAAGAAGCCGGCTGGTATCAGGAGAACTGGCCTTTAACACTCCTGAACTCAGAGAAATAGGTCCCAAGTACCACACTGACCTCTCCTTTCTAGGCGCCAGCATCCAGAGAGGCCTAAGAATTAGGAGGCTGAACTACAGGAGGAAACACCCAACCACAACTTAGAGTGATGCTCACCTGAATGAAATTCCCTCATCTGCCTTTAAGACGCCATAATCTTGAGCAATGGTTCGTTTGGGGTCAGACATCAATGGGATATTCACAGCTCCCAGTCCACCATTCTTCTTGACCGTGTTGACCCTGGAGAAGAATAAGAAACAAGAAACACAATGCAAATGAACTGATGTGACAAGTTTTCATTCAGACAGTTGACCTCCTGAAGGAAGACAAAGAACTCCACCCAACTGCCCTAAGATTGCTTATAAATCTAATGGGCAAGAACTACCTCGCTAGCCAGCGCCAGTCCATGTATGCATCCCCTTCTCAGCAAAGCCCTGCCTGCTCTCAAGACACTCTCAGCCACCCCCCTCCTCATCTTGTACGTCCAGAGTCAGCTCATATCCTCCCTTCTCCAGGGAAATTCTCCCAGTTCCCCTTTCCAATGAAATCACTTCTCAGGTATGTGTCTAGACCCTGCTTGAGGCAGGACATCCTCTGCATTCTGTCTCCCCCATTAGACTTTGAACCTTTAGATGGCTTTTGCCTTTCCTGGTACTCTCAGTGCTTGGCACACAGAAGGCACTGCAGACATGTTTTCTCATGGATAGACCAATTTGGAGCACCTGTGAAGTTTCTGCTTCAATTAACGAGGAAATACAGTCAGTGCTCAAGAAAGCCTGGCCCTCCTCCCACTGCTCCCAAGGCCCAGGCTAGCCACTTGCAGACAGTTACCAGGCAAGGTGACAGAAGTGTGAATCCACAGAAGCACCAATTACTTGGCAGTTGAGTTTCTTAAATTCTTCAGCTCGATCACTGAATGCAATAATCTCCGTGGGGCACACAAATGTGAAGTCCAAGGGGTAGAAGAACAACACAACGTATTTTCCTGGATGGGAAAAGGAGACTGGTGAGCTCAGGTCACCTGGTTTGGCCCCAGTGACCTGGACACCCTAAACTGGCAGTTACATCACACATCTCCATCCCACCCCCACGGAAGGGCCCAAGAGGCCAGACCCAAGTGGCCCTTTCCCAAGGAATTCTCCTTAGGAGGAAACCGAGGCATTCTCCCACCCAAGAGCAATGCTGTGCAGTGTACAGACAAATTACAAGTCCTAACCTGGCCAAGGATAGAGTATCGGGCTATTTGTCGCCTATCCTAGCCTCAGTGCATCCCACCTTGTGAAAACACTGCTCTCTGCCTTCTCTCCCCACACCTGTATGGGCTCATTCCCTGGCAAGGTGCTCCACCTGCTCCGCCAGCATCAGGAGCTTCAGCCACCCCAGGGAATGAGAGCTAAATCCTATTAACTGGGTAGATACAAGCAGGATCTTCTTCCTTTATAGAAAGAGCTGAGGCTCAGGTGACCACAGTCAAGGTGCTAGGGAAGCAGGATTAGTAAAACTGAAACCTAGACACTGGACCAACCTTTCAGTAGCCCCCCAAGACCTCTCCATGGCTCCCCTCCACTTCTAGTCTAACGAACTTGATTGCAATTCTCAGAGACTGAGATGGGGAAAGGAAGCAGCACCAACCACCTGAGCAGCCTGTGCTGACATAACTGGCCTGGTCAGAAAAAGGAAGGCTGGGCCAGGTTTCAGTCTGGGACCAGTGACACACATCATGGCAAGAACTTCACTGAGGGCAAGGGAGCCCAGGCAGGTGCTCCCTATTAAGCTACTCCTGGAACACCTAACAGGAAAAAAAAAATCACTTCTTTGAGGCAGACTCCACCTGGAGAGAAGATAAGCGGGGCTAGCTCTCACTCCTTCTCAAGTATATAATACCTGCTTACAAGGTTGCCTTCAAACTAGCCAGTGGCCCTGGCACCAAGCTTGGCTCTACCCCAGGGGAGTCATGCTGGAAGAACAAGTCCAAGGGCTCAAGGCTGCTCTGTAAGCCAGAAGTGAGGCTAGGCGAGCATCTGGTGTCCCCTCTGAAAGCCAACCTCAATAGGAACATTGTTTATCCCAACAAATCTGCCAGGGCCGTCCTGTTCCTCAGTGCCTGGAGGAGGGCAGCATCATGGACAGCTGGCACTCTCGTGGGAGCTTTGCTCTGGGGGCAGGGAGGTGTGAGTACATATATATATGCAAGGGCATGAGAGCCACCCCTCCCTCTGCCAACCAGCCGTGGTCCACAAGGCCCAGAACCAACCCTACTGGGCCTCTCTGCTCATCAGCTTCCATGGGGGTTAGCTCTGAATAAAGGCAGATGCAGCTGCAAAGGAACCTGAACACTCTTGAGACCCAGGAAATCCAGCAGGCCTGAGTGACCAGGCCCTCTGCCTTTGCCATCCTGGAACCCAACTGCACCCCTACATCAACCCTTGGGGGGGAGGGGCAGTGAAGAGAGCTCAGTCAAGGCACAAACTTCAGGAAAGCACCTTCCCAAGCCAAATGAGTCCCTAGAGGAAAGGCTGGCCAAGGTATCTGAGCATCAGTCATTTCATAAGAGGAGATCCCAGGCCCTTTGATATCAGAACTGGAGGCACACAGGGAGGGAAGGGGAAGGGCCACAGTATTATCCTCTCCAGGAATAAGCACAGATCAAAAGAAGTTGGGGGGAACTTCACCACCCTGCCCCAGATGGGAAGTAAAAAGAGCTGGGCAGAAACAGCACAAAGCTGCCTTTGTTATTGAGATTTCGTCAATCATGAAATGTAAATCGGGCTCAGGCAATTCAACTCACCTTTGTAGTCGGAAAGGCTGATGTCTTTGAACTGCCGATCTGGCATAACAGCTGTAGCTCTGAAATTGGGGGCTGGGTACCCAATCTTGGCATTTCCCGCCGCCATGTTGACAGTAACTGGGGGCCAAGAGAGAAGCTGAATGAGGCTGGAAAACTAGCAGTCTGCCCAGAGAGGTGATTTCAGCTTCCCTCTCCAAGTGGGCAGCCACACCCCATTCCTAAGACAGCCTGAGGCTGCTCACTTTTAGGGAGCAGTGAGAGAGGCTCACCCACCAAGTGGACAAGTTAGCAGAGACCCAGGACCATCTAACTGCCCCAGGAGCCCTCTGCCTCCTGGTCACATACAGCATGGCTGGCTAGTCATTTAAATAATGACTGATTTCCTTAAAACAATGGCTTTGGCTGCCGTCCAAAGCACAAGCAGTCCCCTCCAGACTCAGAGGAGTCAACTTCCCAGGGCTGAGCAGTTCTCAACAGCCAGATTTGGCAGCAGGGTTTTGTGCCGTCTAGACTAGACTTCTCACGGGGAAGAGCTGCTACTCTACGGCCCTCTCCTAAACCAGCCAGTCCCCAGGAAAAAGAGGAGAGATGGGTGGTTTTGCCCTTGTGCCTAGGTTGGAAATTCTAGTCAGAACTAAGTAGAGATAAGGAGTTAAGCGGAACTGATTTCCACTCTGAGAAACTCATCACTCCACACCCAGGCAGAAGCTGCTGTTTCCATGCCAAGAGGCACTGGAAACCCTCACCTACCCTCTCCTCCCTCACTTGCCTCCTGCATCCTCTTCTACCCAGTGTGTCCTGCAGGGCTGCCCTATCAGCCCACCAGCCTCACCCCCAGGGGTCGCTCACTGTTTCATCCACCACAAGAGAGGAAGAAGAGAATAGGTTTCTATGGCACCTACTGTGGGCCAAGCACTCTGCAAATGCTTTACAACTATTATCTCATCAGTTCCTTACAACCACCAGGGGAGATCGGTGCTGAGGTTTCATTATCCCCATTTTACAGTTGAGGAAATTGAGGCAGGCAGGGGCTAAGTGACTTATCCAGGGTCACAGCTAAGGTCTGAGCCAGACATAAACTCAGGGGTTCCAGACTCCTGGCTCAGCGTTCTAACCATTGAACCACACTAGCTGCCTGAAAGCAGAGAGTGACAAGGGGGCATCCCCTTCCGAGTAAGGTTCACTTCTTCCCCTTCTGAAACTACTTTATATAAAAGCTGAGGGTCCATGCTCCAATACCGCCCCCCCCCAGCACCATCTCCCTGGACGGACACCTACTTACACGGGCTTCCTAAGCAGGGGTGCAGCGCGCCCCACTCCTGCCAACCACACCTCCGCCCGTGGCTCGGGTCCACAGCCTGCCCCCCATCATCTAACGATCCTAGGAGGCCAGTCCTGCCCACTTTTACAGAGAAGGAAACTGAGGCTAGGGGCAGCGGGAAGCCCTCGCAGGCTTATAGATGAGCCCGAGGGCACACGAGAACCGGGTGTTCCCGACTGGTCTCTTCGCCTGCCTGACGAACACAAGACGGGGGGCACCCCTTGCCGCAGGCACCGCTCCACACCCAGGAGAGCCGCCTCCTCGGCAGCATCAGGGAGAATGACGGGGAGGGGGCAGGCAAGTTACCGTATCGCCGCCATCCGCCCCTCCCCTCCAGGGCGCTTCACTTCCCCTCCCAGCCTCAGTTTCCTCGGCTGTCAAAATAGAGAATGTAACTCCGAAGCTGTGGGGGTCCGTGGAAGAAGCTGTTTGGGGGCAAGGGGCCCCCGCCTGAACCACGGGGCCTTGGGGCCCCGGCTTCGATTCCCCCAACCCAATATTGGCGCGAGAACCTCAAAGCCCGCCCGCCCACCCGAAGGTTCCCGAACACGCCCCCACCCCGGGTGGGGCACGTAACCCCGTCGGCCAATCAGCGGCCTTTGGGGGGGGGTCGTTCACCGCCTTCCCCAGGGCGTCCCGAGATTCCCCGGCCGCCCCCAGCGGCCCGGAGAGGGGTAGCACAGCGCCGGAGGATGCGGGCCCCCGCTCCGCCCGCTCCCCGGCCTCACCAGCTAGGCTCCGCGGACTAGTTCGGAGAAAACAGGAACACGTGAGGACGCACTGGAGAAGGCGAGGGTGGTGCGCCCGGCACCGCTTTTATAAGCCTCTGATCTCGCGAGAGGATGAGGGCGGGCGGAGGCGGGCCGGTCTGCCTGAAGCCACGCCCCTCCTCCCCCCTGCCTGCCTGCCTCCCGCTCTCCCGGCATCCACCCGCTCTGCATGACTCTGCACTTTCCTCTAGTTAGGGGACAAAGCGCCCCTGCCCCCACGCACCTCCCGCTCTCCCTCCCCCACTCCCGTGTCTCTCAGACCGGGAAACTTCTTCCCCCCCGCCGCAGATCGCCTCTCTCCCTCCCTGCGTCCTCGTGTTCCTGCTCCGGCTTGTCCCTTTAGGCAGGGGGTCAGTGCCGCTTGGGAGCTCCCTGGGCCAATGCAACCCAAGCCCTGTTGGCACTTTTAAAAAGGATAATTAATAGTAATAAGTAACAGTTTAATCACACTGCAGCTATCATCTAAGAGCCCGCAACCGCAGGTGCCACCCAGAGCCGGGGCTCACCCAAGGTTCTCATTAAGTCAGTCCCTCAGCATTTATTAAGCACCTACTGCATCCCAGGCCCTGTGCTAAGCCCAACATTTCTCTCAAGGACTCGAATCTAGGCTCATCAGACAGGCTGCTGATGCCCCGCTGGCTGGGAGGAATGGCTGACACGCACTGGGTCAGGACTGGAAAATAGAAAGTAGCAGCGGCTGAGCAGAATGGAAGGGGAAATTCAGTAAGTATAAATAACAGCAAGTGTAACATTTGGGCTCAAAAACACTTCCAAGAAGGAACCGGCCAGGTCAGCCTGAGTCAGCACGATGGCTGGAATTAAGGGAATAGGGAGCCGAGTTCGAGTCCTGCAAGGCCTGGAGCATGGGGAGAGACTGGAGAGAGTGAATTTGTCCCCAGTGGATTAATCACCTACTATGGGCCTGGCACACCACCTGGTACAAAGAAAAAAAGGGAGCTAGGCCCTGCCCTCAGGGAGCTTCCATTCTGGTGCTTGGTGGGGGAAGGGAAGGTGGGGAGGGCTGTTATGTGGAACAAAGATCAGCCTGGCAGATCAAGTAGCCCCTGAAGGCAGGCCCAGGGACAGTTGAGGGGGTGGTGAAAATTTCAAGGAGGCCAACTCAGTTCAGGCTCAGTGTTAGGAAACCCTTGCTCACCCTAGGGGCTGGCCAGGAGTAGAAGGGACTGTTTTGGAAAGGCAGTGAGCTCCCCATCCCTGGAGGTTTCCAATCAGAAGCCGGGTGACTCCTCCTGGAGGATGTTGTAGAGGGAATTCGTGTTCAGGTGCGGGTTAGGCTCAATTCTGTGAGAATGTTACATGATAAGCAGGATGAATGCATGGGAAAGGGTGCTTGGTGTCCTTGGGTCCCTTGGGCCTTGGGGAAATGCAGAGAGCAGCCCAGAGTGGGTGGAGCCAGCCATGGGAGATGAGCCTGGGGATGGGAGGGGCGGGCAAAGAAGGGAAGCTGGCTTTCCCACTTGTAGAGTTGGTGCCACCTGACACCTGAGCTGGGCCGAGAGAGCGTGGAGCCTGGCTCAGTCCCCACCCCCACCATCCCACGGACATGGCCTCTCCACCCCTGCTTAGCATTTGTACTCCCTGGAGTGGCTTTCTCTGTGCTAGGCACAAATAGTCTGGGAGCTCATGAAATACTTGTTTGAGTGACCCTGGACCTAAACTAGGGTGCTATCACTGAAATTGATCCAAGGTTATTATCAAGAACCTGGGAGGTCCCCGGAGGCAGGGAGAACAGTGAGAAAGCTATTTCAGGGGTCTAGGCTGGAGTGAGAAGGTCTGCTCTAGACTGGTGGTGCAGGAAAGTCTCTCGGAAATAGCCTACTCCAGCTTTCTCCTTTTACACCAGAGAGTAACACAGGCAGTATTGTGAGAAGTGAGTCTTGAACCCGGGGCAGCCTGAGGAGTGGGTGCCATCCTTCCTGTCCCCTTCTTCACGGTGGCCTCTCTGTGACACCAAAGAGAAGGAGAATGATGCTGGCCAGAGAGAAAGGGGAATGTGAGGCCTCCAGGGCAAACAACCTGGACTCAGGGTAGTCATTGGCAATCATTGATGAAATTTCTAGGGCCCTTTATGGTTACAAAGGTTCCCCATACCTTCCTTTCACCTCCCCCCCCATAACCTGTTGGAGAGTAGCTGGGGCCTCATTAGCTCCATTTTATAGCCAGAGGGGTTCAAGGTTCAAGATCTCAGAGCCAGAATTCCCACCATTATCATTCTGGAGGATCTGGCCCTTGGTGAAACTTTTCTGGCTAGAAGGAAGCAGAAGGAAATGAAAGGGGAGCGGATTCACCCACCCAGTGCAACCTCCCAGGGAATAGTCCAGAATATGTTTCAAGGATTTTAAAATATGGGGAGGGTGGGAATTTCTAGGTCTGTTGGAAATTTCTCCTTTGAGCAAGTGAGTGCAGGGTCCCTGTGCCCTGAGATCTTTAAGTAGGAGGCAGACTGTGTGAGTCTAGCAGTCTAGAAGGTCTAGAAGGAGAAGCTGCTGTCAGACACCAGTCTGTGGGTGCCCAAGCCCCTCTCCTGTCTTCTCTGTCTGTCTGTCTATCTGACAAATGCCTATTTCTGTCTCTGTTGATCTTCACCCTAGTGTTTTCCATCAGTGTGGTATCTGACCTTGATGTTGTGTTCATCCTTATTGAAGGCTGAAAACATCATGCTAAAAAGCATGGGAGGAAGCACACAGCCTTGTTTCACTCCATTGGTGACTGGGAAAGCCCAAGAGCATCATTGTCCATCATCCAGAACCCAAGCAAGCATGCCCTCATGAAATGGGGGTACGATACTAATCAACTTCCCTAGGCCACCAAATTTTGACATAATTTTCCATAAGCCCTAATGACTGACAGTATCAAAGGCCTTGGTCAGATCTACAAATGTTGTGTCCAGACCTCTGTTCTGCTCCTGGCATTTCTCCTGGAATTGTCCAGCATCAGACACCATATCAGCTGTTCCTTGGCTCTTTCTGAAGCCACACTGGCTTCCAGGTGAAGGATCAGCCTATTAAGGAGGACTGTGGTAAGAATCTTGCCAGCAATGACTGAGACCTCCCTGTGATTATCACAGGACAATCTATTTCCTTTACCTTTATAGAGAAGGACAAAATGACTATCTCATGAAGAACTCATATAGGACAAGCGCTCACATGGTTGTCAGAAAGAGTGATTCAAGGCCACTCTTAAGAGCTTTGGAATTGGGGGCAGCTAGGTGGTGGAGTGGATAGAGCACTGGCCCTGGATTCAGAAGGACCTGAGTTCAAATCTGGCCTCAGACACAAAACACTCACTAGTTGTGTGACCCTGGGCAAGTCACTTAACCCCATTGCCTAGCCAAAAAAAAAAAAGAACTTTGTAATTGATAGTGAGACATGGGAGACGCTGGCACAGGACCACCCAGCATGGTGTGCCCTCATCAGAGAAGGCGCTGTGCTCTATGAGCTATGCAGAATTGAAGTAGCTCAAAAGAAACTTGAGATGTGCAGAGTTAGAGACTCCATCCCAAATGTTCACATGGACTATGTGTGCCCGACCTGTGCTATAGCGTTCCAAGCTCCTACTCGTCTGATCAACCAGTCTGTAACTTGACTCTAACAGAGTGGTGTCATTTTGGTCCTTTTTGAGAACAAAGGACAACCACTACCACGGCTTTCCACTGTGCTCTCCTACAGGTGCTGATTAATGCAGCTGTGTGAACTAGGCAGGGTAGTCTTTAGTGGTGAGCCATCCTCAGGAATTCAGAGTCATCCTGACAGGACAGAACCAAGGAGATGATTCAGTTGCTTCATGGTGGGAGAGGAAGTAGAGTTGTAGGGGCGTGGGTAGTGGAAGTGGGACATCCAAGGGCGAGAACTCAAGCCTGCAGACAGGGAATTAACCAAGAGGCAGATTTCAGCTGAGTAGTGTGGAGGAAGTCCAGTGCAAGCAGAAAGATGGGAATTGTGGGCCAAATGATAAGGCATACTTGAATGAATGAATGAATGAATGAATGAATGGTGGATGACTGGCTGCTTTGGGGGAGTGTTTTAGGGGAGACTTCTACATAGAATGGCAGTTGGATCTAGCCTCTGAAATGCTCTGATTCTCGTAAGTGGGTGAAGACCAAGGAAGCAACTCTTTGGGCCCAGACATCTTCCCCCATGGACTCTCTTCTTTAACTTCCACCCAGAAGTTCCTGGGACTCTGTGTTGCCTGAAAGCTGTTAATTAGAGACTATCTGGGATGGCTTAGAATCTTCTCTAGTTTTCTTAAGAAGCGTGAACTGGAACTCTTAGCTTTTCTGTTCTTTAGTACGAACTGGTACTGATTCTATCCTCTGCCTTGAGCTTAGCATACTCCTCGACCTTTGCCTTTATGTCTTTGTGTTGAGGTGTGTGAAGATAAAACTTCTGGAGTTTGGGATACTGGGGAGTGTGGGTCAGGGGTCAAGGTTGTGCAACAGTAGGTGGGGGGGTAGATTTCTGGCTATTTTCCCCAGAGTCCCCACTATCAACGATGCCCCAGAATTGAGGCTCAACTTCACTGCATCGGAGGGGACAAGGAGGTAAGAGAGTGGCAAACTGTGTGTTTAGGTGAGTACTGTAGATGGTTTTAATTAGAGATGTGCCAATGGAGATACTTCTGAAGAGAAGGAGGAGGAGAGGATGAGAAGGGGGGAGAGACAGACAGACATACAGACTCAGAGAGACAGAGAGGAGATGATGGGATGCTTGGGTGCTTATGTTTGGGTGCTTGTACTTGGACCCCAATTTCTCCCTAGCCTCAGAAACACTATTCGTCTGGTCAACCAGTCTGTAACTTGACTCTTAACAGAGTGGTGTCCCTGACAGTTTCTCCCAGCTCAAGGACACTGTGCCTAGCAATTACTCATGAGTGGGCCCCAACAAGCCCCTTATCTCTCCCTGGTGCAGTTCCAAACAACACCTGAAGGAATTATTAGTTTGAACTGGCTTTGCACCAGGTCATAAAGACATTCTTAGCCACTGGACTATCTATACTACCACCCTACCTCATTATCTACATGCTGGACTCCTCATTATCTGTATTCTA